GCCGGTCTCGCAATATGGTCTGACTGAACTGTTTTTTTTTGTTTTAAGAAAAATGCTATACACATAATTTTCATAGAAGCATAAATTATTTATGAAATTTTTTTTGCCCAGAAAAAACAAAATGTCAGTAATGAGGATTTTCTAGTAATCGAATAGTTAGAATTTTACCGGAGTCTTCTATATGTAGCTTTTTCCATAGACATCATAGTATGAATGAGCTGTGTTCCAATGTAAATCAACCAGGGAATGCACATACTTTTTCAATAAAAAACCTCACTAAGAATGAAGAAACTTCCAAAATCTTTTGCATTGATATTTAGCCTAGTTGCTGTGATAAACTTCAACAATCTCAGAAATACGAAAAACAAGTCTCGAGTTTTGACTCTAGCTTTGGTATGGCGGGTAGTATCGGGAACCTATGCTCAATCAGAATAAATGTTTAATCTATGTTCAAAGAGCCAACAGGAGTCAATCATGGAGCGATGCAGAAGTTGATGTTCCAAAAATATTTCTAAACCAACCAGTTATGCGACGAGGAACAAAAACCACAGCAATTAAAAGCATTTTAAAGAAGTGCATTTTTCAAAAAAGGATCAAGCTAGAGAAATATATGCGAGCACTTGTTTTAATCATCAGAAAAGGAGCTTGTAAAAACAGTTGATGAAATTCTTACCCCTAGACAATTATGATTTGTATCGCCAGTCAATCTAATCTGACAAACAAATGTTTGGCTCAGCGAAACAGCGTTCTGAATGTGGAATCTGATCAAGATAGTTACTCTCTTTCGAAAAAAGAACTTGATTTTTCTAGGATTCACTACAAAATCGATCATAAGGATATTAAGAGCAAGCCAGCGCAAGAAGCAGCGGTTGGATCGTCATTTTTTCTCATAAACCTGACCCTATTAATTTGCAAACTGCAGAAAAGGCGAAAATGTAAATCAAAGCCAATCTTGGAAACTTATTCTTACCACTGACGAGCTATATTTGAAATCTCTGCGCAATTAAGAGCGCTTCTGCACAAAAATTAACCAATCAGTTTAGTAGCTAGGCTTCATACGGCTCAAAAATTGAAGGAGGGAACCATCATTTGGATAGCAAGCTTTCTTGCTGATTCAACCAAAAAAAAGCAAAGATATCTCAATTAAGTTCAGTTAGCGGTGCTTCACAACTGATCCACGATTCAACGAAAGTTGCACGATTAGCTGTTCTCCATATAAATATCTCAGATCTCGCTAATATCAGTTTGGAGCACTTTGACAGCTAAGTTTTGGCCCATTGTGTGTTTTTTTTCTTGAATAATGGTTGAACTATTCAGCTGAAGAGTTGTTGGTGAAAGAACTAACTGTTTTTGGGGCGAAAATGGCTGGAGCGGAAATGAAGTTCCCATGCTTTAAATTATTACAACAGTTATATGGTAAAGCTTTTTATATTTTAAATTTGCTTACACGCCAAAAACTTCAAATATGGTTGCTGCACGTTTAGTTTACAAATATAATTATAAACTTAGGATTCAAAGGACACGGAAAAGAGAAATACCTCAAAACATTGGAAATCAATGGTCCTACAGAAGAACGCTTTTGAAGAAAATGAGCCATTTTTTGTTTCTAGAATCTTTTCCAGAATGGGCTAGGACACAACACGCACTTTTCCATATAGAAAAATGATAAAAATAGCAGAAAAACGCAGTTTAATGAAAATTCATTTTAGCTTGCGACTCATTGAAAATGAAAATCTAATGACCAGGATACAGGAAAAAAACCTTCACCAACTAATTAAAAAATTGTAGGAAAACAATTTTTCTAACACTGCCTGCATTGAACCATATTAAAACAATTTTTAGCAAAATATTTGACAAAAACGTTCGACAGGTAACAATTACTAAGCACAACAATTCTCAAAATATTTTCTATCATGGCTCTATCTTAGTTTTATAATCGAGATTGCTTTCGAAAATTACGTTTTCAAAAAAGCTTTCACAAAATTTTTTGAAAAAAGTTTTAAAAGTTTTTCATGATTTTTACATAAATTTATGTGAAAATGCATATTTTTAATAGTACAAAGTTATTGAACCAGCAATGAACAATTGAATAAACAGTAACATCTTTGATCCAGAATATCCCAACTAGTGTTTATGCAGGAGTAACTGGAATAAAAATATCAATCGCATCGATATGAACTGCTAAAAAATAAATTTTTTGCAGCAATTTTCCACGTTTAATAAAAACTATTTCAGCAACCATAACCTTTGAAAACAGTATCAGGACAAGAAGAAAATACAGCACCTAAAGTTCCCATTTGCTGAATTTGCCCATATCATAAGTTCCCATACCAATTTAAAAAATCCATCAAAGTATGGACAATAAATACATGATTGAAATGTAATCAGAAGTAATTATAGAGTAAGAATACCTCAATGGGTCTCGCGCTATTAGCGAACAACGCAAATTTCTCACAACCAAAATCAAACTGGACTCAATGTTTTCGTAAGCAAACATGCCACCATCTTTTATGTTTAGTAAGTGCTATGATGGTATTGAATTGAAACAGCGTATTCTTTCTGTATTTTTCTGCAAATTGTAACTCATCGAATAGCCAAAAAACAATACTTTTACTTTAGAAACCTCATAAAAGGGTCAAACCTTTTTGATTCCTGCCGGCCATGAATTTCAAACAAAAATTAAAACAAAGAATAACAACACAAAAGTGATCGAAAACTTTGCTTACAGGCGGCGCGAGATCCAATCGCAAGCGGCATTTACCACATTGTCACAAACTCAAAGCATTGCGCACTTCAAACTCTAAAACTAATGCAGCAAATGAGGAGGACAGTCAAAATAAATCCGGTAAAAAGCCAGATTATTTCAGTTAGTTTACTATTGGTACCAGACAAAAAGACAACACAATTGTCTTTGCTATCCCGGTCAACAATAACGCAAACTCTACACATAAGGAAAAAAAGACATCCTTGCCCACTTTTGCCACATATGACCATCATTTCGAAAAACCGAATAGTTTTAAGCAATTTTGTCTTTTCGATAGCGAAAAATAAGAAAAGAAGGTACACTTTTTGATTTTTGGCGACAAGGAGAACTTCAAAGCACTCAAATTATACAACAAAATAATTCTGTAGTCTGTTTTCTTTAATTGTTTCAGTCAGTTTTACTAGCTGTACACTTTTATGAACCAATTTAATTGACTACCGGTGACGTTACCCGGCAAAAACTTATCATTGAATTTGAAGCAGCGGCGTTTGGTTATTTTCATCCCTGTCAGTATTTTATGCGGAACGTAAGCAAGAGGGGCTTTAAGAAGACTTAAGAATAGAACAACGGGCTAGTCTTATTGCTGAACATTTGTTTTACGCCTAATTGAATTTTTCAGAAGTTTGTGTCTGCATTATCGAAAATTTTCTGATCATATTTTGGTTGAAAAATCTATGCGGCATATTCAAGTTGGCGTAATAAAACTTTGAGGTTTTGTTAAAGTTTGGCTATGAATTTTAATGAATTTAGTTCCAATGATGATTGCTAAACCTTATGATTCATAAATAGCTTTTGCAACCTCTCTGTGAAAAATTCAGAGAACAAATCTAGATAATTTTCCAGCTTGTGAATACCTAAATCTCTAGTGATTGGAATAATTAGATCCGATCATCTTTTTTTTGGCTCATAACTAAATTTAAAATTTTCAGCATACAAATTATCTTCATATTTGATTAAAGTTCATCAAAATTTTGAATAGTTCAATCTTTTTTTGGGTCAATTCTCTCAGTTATACTCGATTCGTCTTTTCTCATCAATACTCCTTTTTTAATCAGAGCCGTTTCTCGATAACGACTCGAAATTGGACAAAAACCGCAAAATGCTGAGATCCACCCGAGAACAGGCAAAACCACTGCCGACTGTTTGTCGTGCGCCAACTCGTGTTGCAGATTTCCGAACATTTCTCCTGTTTTGTCCTTGAACTTGGGGATTACTCTTCCCGTCATGACCAATTGGTAGTTCACAACAAATAAGCCATCGTTTCTACCGAGAGTGACGCCTGAAATAAAATGTTTTCAGAATATTTATTCTTAAATCAAAATCCCTGAAATGCATAGTTTCCATTTTCAACTTTCGTATTGATCTAATTAGTTGAGTAAGGCTTAATTTAACAAAAACTATTATTTTAAAAGTATAAGTATTGGAGAAAAAACGAAAAGTACAGCTTTTGAGCACCCTTTGGATCAGAAATGACACGCGATCTCTCTAAGACAACTGTGAATGAACAAATTTCAAACTGTAACTGATCACCACACGTACCTTGTACAGTTTCTATTCTGGTTGGCAAACTGACTAGACTTCTGTTTTCACAACTGTTCTCTAAATTGTGCCACACAGTGTTCCCTATTTGCGCAACTGACACCACTCCCTTCTCTTCATTCAGAGGCGTAACTGAACAGTCCCCCAGTGCAAATATTCTTCCGAAGTTTTCTACCTGTTGGCGAAGACATGTTAATCATGGACGCTCATAAGAAGAAGAACTCTGTGAAGAACAGTGGCCTCCAAATACGCAGAGGTTTTTTTTGTTTTGTAAAAAAGAGTGGAGGCAGTTTGATTATGATTGGGCAGTTTGATCATTGAATTGGTCTCCAAAAAGACCGTTTTTAAATTATCCGTCATTATGGCGCGTGGATTTGGTTGTATTTCAGTTTTAAAAAGGAGAGCCCGTTCCTGTGCAAATAGCACAGAATTTTCCGAGCGAACTGATAAAAAATAATAATTTCAAAATTTTTTTCGAGCAATTTTTGTTGTTTTTCGTGTTTTTGTCTAATTTTCGTGGTTTTTTTGGAAGGGGCAATTTAGTTGGGCGAAAACTAGCAAGAACGGTAACAAAAGACAAATAGCGTTAATATATAGCCTTGAAATCAAAATTCGTCTTAACTTAGACTGAAAAAGGTAAAAACTGCAGAGCAGTTTTTCTCGACAATGAGAAAACTTTTTGTTCAGAATGAAAAACACGGCCAACAGGGCTTGAATATGATGTCACACTTGACTCATCAGAGGTTTCCTTGAGGTAGTCAAATTTGGATGGAATATTTTCAAACCGGGAGCCTTCGAGAGTGCACAGAACATGAAATATGGCTATTAAAACATTGCGAAATTTTAACCTGCATGTATCGGTTCACTTTAATTCCTCCATTTGAAGCAATAGAGTCTCCAAAAACTTTTCGGTCCAGAAAACTAGTGTCTATGTATGTAGCCGCAGGCAGAAAAAGAGCATCGGGAAGTTCTGATCGAAGCTCCTCCGCGTCTTTATTGAAATGAATTGTGACGTTCAGTTTTGTGAGGGCGTCCAGAGCGTATTGACTGGCTTTTGGAGGCAGCCGCTCGAGAAGATGATTTGACCTAGTTACCAGATGAACTTTCTGAAACAAAAACAGAAATAAGTGAACAAAAAAGTTTTAAAAACCTCTCAAGTGGTCAAAACTTTCTTCAGTAATAAGCCTGAATCATAACTAGGGAACTAGGGTCTTGACTAATCTTTTAGAAAATTCAAATTCATTAATAAAATCCGTATTTATAGTCGGTCTGGCATCCAAATTTCGACATTCTGACTGCTGATCGTGTATCTCTTGTGTAATCATGTTGAACTGTGGGATGGTGTGTCATCGATAAATCGTTAACTACTATGTACCAGCTTTTTGTGATAGGATTTTAGCAATTTTCCGTGACACAAATCTATTGATGTTCAGAGCAAGCGGAAATAATTAATAAACTCAAGGGCAAACTAATCTTGAGGGTCTAAAAAATGCCAATCTGGAATATTTAGGATAACAAACGCGCGATATAATTCGTAATCTTAAAGTAAAATTGGTTTAAAAATTTTTTAAATGTATTTCAGACAAGCAATTTAAACTTTTCTTATGCGTTTGGTACAAGACGCAAACTTTCTTACCAAATGAATTACTTAGCCTCTGGGGGAAAATGTTTTTATGTTCATTTAGGGGCAGATTTAGGGGAGGGGGGCGGTAGGAACGCTTTGTTTTTGCTTTGATCGATTAACCGCTTTATTTTCAATTCTCAGATTCTTTGTTATTTTATTATGATATGTTATAATTAATAGCAAAACAAATTTGGACAGACAAATAATTAAAAAGAGCAAATGGCCTTTATCAGACAATTTTTACATGCAAAAGCTAATTTTTCAGACAGAAAGTATGTCTCAATGTCACTTAAAAAATCAAACTTGCAAGCAAAAACTGCTCAAAATAGGCAGATTGCTCTTTTTAAATATTTCTGTCTGTCCAAACTTTTTGCAATTCTCTATATGTCGTGGGAGATTTTAGAACGAGGTATTTTTTGGAATGGTATCTTATTGACTGGGATCTTCTCGTTGGGTATTTTAAGGTAAGGGATATTTTGTCATGTAACCCACAAATAATGTGTTCAACATCAACCATGCTCGAATCAAGCAAGGTGTTTTTCAAATACTTCGTCCACAAGTAATGTTCTCGAAAATTTTCAAGAGCTCGAGCAATATTGAGGTGATCGTATACAAAATGCGACACTTCAACTACATTTGTGGTTTCTATTAACTCCACAGGCAGCACTTCGGTATTTTTATATGCAGTTTAGTGTTCAGCCGATCATTTTTTCCCAAATACGCAATGAGCTTGTCTAGATTTTGAAGGTCACTTTCCGGTATTTCCAGTATGATTGCCACCTTGCATGTCTATTAAATAACTGAGTCAAGCAAGGCTTGCGTTTTCGACTCCAGTACAATTGAATTTACATGTTTTGTCAGGCCAAATCTGTCATAATAAAATTAATTTCATTTCTGTCAAAGCTTCATGACAGAATTCGCCTTTAAAAAACACGTAAATCTAACACCAAGCTTGTTTTGGCCCTGATTGTATACCTGCCTTCAGTTTTGTACCGGAGTTGAAAACGTTAATTTTGATTAGTTTAGTTTTTGAATAGTCATGCAATATTGCCATCAAACAGGACACAGCAGAAAGTGACCATCACTGGACAAACAGGAATAACTCAATGTGTAAAAAGCTATGACTGAAAACTAAACTGCATATATATAACCAAAGTGTTGCCAGTCGCGTTTGTGATAAAAGATTAATTGCAATGATCAAATGATTCAAAATCAATATTTTCTCTGAATTAACATCGCGAATAACTTGAATGCAATTAAGAACATTTCTGGTAAGCAATTATTGCTGAGCAGGGCGTAGACTAGGGTTATTCTTTATTACTTTCACTCTGCTTCCACTAGCCCCTGGTTTAAGGTGTGATCCAAAAATCAGGACTGTTTTTATGGTAGCGCCGACTGTTTTTTGTTGTTTTCTTGAGATTGAGTGTTATTCTGGAATTTTACATGGAGGTTTGACCTTGATTGAGATGGTAGGAGTCGAGGATGTTGCAGAGCGTTCACAGACGACTGCTGATGAGAGAGCATTTCTTGAGTAATTTTACTGCGGGAGAAAGACGTGCGTGCTATCGGCCGTTATGTTGCAGGCTTTCAGGCAAACTCACCTTGCTTTATTAGCGGTACAATTTTAGAAGTTTTTCCATATTATGAGTGTTTGACTTCTTGAGATTGGCACATTGAATTTGGTCGTCAGATGCTAAATGGCGTTTGGGCCCAGCTATTTCAAGGAAAGCTGGCATTCAGGGGTGGATTTAGGGGGGGGGGGGCGTTGGAGCGGACGCCCCCTATCCTCAGGGATTCGACCCCCTGCCGACCTGAAGGGTCCACCTTTGTACTATTTTGAGATATCCATTTTTGGTGACGGACCTAAAATTTTTCAAAATGCACTTTTGGCGCCAATATATGCTAACTTTGAGGGGGGACAAAATGTTTGATTTTTTTTTGAAAATCCGCCCCCCTTCTCGGGAAAATCCTAGATCCGCCCCTGCTGGCATTCAAGTTTTTTGTTCAAAGCCTTCATAACTTGAGATTTATTGATGTTCGGGCAGGGGCGGATCTAGGATTTTCTCGAGAAGGGGGGCGGATTTTCAAAAAAATTTCGAAACATTTGTCGACCTTTTTTTTATTTTAGGTCAACCAAATTGATTTCTCGAGCTCTCCCAAAGCACTGTTTTGTCATTATTTTGGCCAAATTTTCTGCGCCGCAGGCAAAATTTTTTAAAAAAACAGGCAAAAAAGGCACTTGTTGGAAAATTTTGACCAAAAAATTGCTTTTTTTTCGGCGCGCGCTCCCCCTTCAAAACTAGTATATCTTGGCGCCAAAAGCGCCTTTAGAAAATTTTTAGGGTCCGTCGCCAAAAATGGATATCTCAAAATAGTACAAAGGGGGCCCCTTTGGGTCGGCAGGGGGTCGAATTCCTGAAGAAGAGCGTCGGCATACCTCCCCCGCCCCCCTCCCCTAAATCCGCCCCAGTATACGGGTGTTCTTCAAGAGATCAACTTTACATGCTCTCGGTGATGATTTTGCAGGACTGCGAATGTGACGTCTTGGGGGCGATGAAGTTTGTTGAATCTAAGTGTCAGATCTTAAGCGGAGTTAGATGCTTTTTCAGCTTTTTCTTTCTCGTGAACTTGATTGGCTGATTTTTTCATCTATTGTTATATCATATCTATGTTCCAAAGTTTGACTGTACCTGTTAGGATGTCAAATCTGCTAGCAATTATTTCCACAAGGTAGGTTCTCTGTGTTGGATGGTCATTTGAATGCTTTTTGGAACCTGATCTAAACTACATTTTCTTATTGGATAAATTAGATATTTTACCACTGTAAAATATTTAATATTAACCAATCATATTCCATCAAACTAACAACCCACTTATTTGTAAGTGCTGAAATTACTTGTAATTTCAGCACCAGAGAGATTTGAATTTAACTTAGAAATTAGTTACCTCTCCAAGAGAACTTCAGCAGTCGCAATAAGCAAGTATACTCTAGATCTATTGAGCCTAGCAGAGACTAGTTAAACACCCTGAGACTAGTAGATATAAGAGTAAGATTAGGATCGGTATTAGACTAAGAAGTTGCACGAATCTATCCGGCCGAAAATAAGATAGCGTGACGAGCAGACGGTGTACCCTATCCGAAATTACTCTATGAGTTAACCTCAAGGACCTAACTCAGTTTGCTAACACTTCCGATTCGCATTGAGATTGATTTTTGAGACTTGATCGGTTGTCTCGGTCGATAATATTCTACTTCTACTTGCACATCCTAGAGGCACACCCAGAATATAGGAGATGATTGGAGGCTGTGTTGACGGCATCTACACATACGGGATCTCCTGTTCTCTGCTAGTCATAATTGCCTAACCGATAGAAAAAGCTAACCAATCAGCCTTCTAGAAATTTCTGCAATTTTCCTAGGCCAATCTAATTAATGACGTCCTGATGATTGTTGTTTTGATGGTGAGTGACGATTTTGGAACTGAGGGACATCTCGGTGCCCCAATCTGCCAAGGTGAGCAGAGACAGGCTAAAGAGGTTTTTGACGACGTTATGTGGTTAGTCGTCCGGAGTCTTGTGGGCGCGTTTTTGTTGAAAACTTCAACAAATACTCTTAGCCTCGATGGAGAAATAATAATCTTATGTTTGATCGTTCACTAATTTTTATCAATAGTGTAGAAAAAAAGTTGGTTTTTAAGAGTTATTGATATCACTTGATAAATCAAGCAAAAATAAGCTATTGTAAGCCTACTCGCTCACATTTTTCGCTCGAATTTAGACTAAAAACCAAAAACTTTAGGCCTGATTTTCTCGATAGTGGGACAACTTTTGGAAATTTGTTAATGCTGCTTGAATCACGACTGAAAGGGTTTTAATATGATATATCACTCTGCCCATTCCCATAATTATTTGTGGTGCCTGATTTTGCGAGGAAAACAAGAAGTTAAAGAAGAAAAAAAAAACGAAAAAAACTCCAGCTTTGGTATAAGACTTAAAGCCAAAATCCATCTACTGTGACACCCTGAACATCTCTGCAACTGACAGTACTCGTCGTCTATGTTTCACTATTCCCTTCAGTTTATCAAAGACATTCGCAAAGTGCGCCGATACGTCCTTGTCTAGTCCCCCCAGAAAAATTGGCCCATTTTTTGTCAAAGTAATAGCTGCCGCACTTCGCTTTTTCGGACTCGGTATACTTCTTTGGACTAAAATTCTTCAGACTAGCATTCCGACCTAGTATGTTCACTCCTCCCCGCGTGCGATTCCGTGTTTTCGGCTTTGTCACTGGCGCTGTTATCGGTAATTCGTTTTTATTCTTGTCAGAACTTCCATTAATGATAAATGTTCAGTTGTTTTTTTTTCTCCCCCGATATAGAGCTGGTGAAAAATAGTTCCCTCTAAAATCTAGGGGGTCTTCGCTACCTTAGTGGCTTCGTTTTATGCCCCGTTGGACTCGCTTCGAGGTTTTACTCATCAGAATGC